TACTTGAATTACCCTAAATTAGGGAACAGGGAAACTCTTTCAAATATGGAATTTATAATATCTTACTAATATTAAAATGCAAATGATTGGATGGATGGGTAGATGGATGTTTTTTTTACATCATAAGTTTGAAGTTACCTTCAGAACATCGGCATGGATCTCGCTGTAATTTGGGTTAGATATGGAACAAAGCCTGGAGGAACACATAGACTAATCAAGGACGCGCGGAGAGAGGTAGCTTAATTCTGGTCGGATTTAATACGTTACAATGTATTTCTCTCATAAGTTACGGTGAAGTAAAATTGTCAAATAATCGTTATCTTATTACGCTAACAAGAAAATTGTAATCAATGTGTTATCGCTTAAGTAGTAACTGTAATTAACCATAATACAATACATTTTTAATTAAAAAAGTAAAGGAAATAGTGAAATTTCGATAGTTAGCAGTACCTTGGAAAAATTATTAAGTTTTACTTTAGAATTTCTATATTATCTAAACTTAAAATATATATGCACTGTTATCGTCTACTTAGCCATGTTAAAAGGCTTACATGACGTTGAAATAATCCCCACTTCAGGCGTTCACTGAAGGCATTGTCACATATAAAATCCTCTATACCAATACTGTTGGAAACGTTAAATACGTCATTAACAATGGAAATCAATACCCGAGCGTCATTCAATGTCGACTTACTCAAACAAGAGTTTACTGTTACGTCCGAGCAGTCTTCAAGTTAACTTTTACATGAAATAATTCCGCCACTAGATTCAAATATCAGAAACCTAGTAAAAAAACCTTTATACATAGATAGGCTAAAACCGTGGTACTTTGTGCCTATTTGATTTTGCACCGACAGTTGCGGTTGTTGGCGGTGGTGAGGAATCGATTTAATAATAGATATAGAATTAACTGTAAGGAACTTTAACAGGCGCGTTTAAGTCGGAAAGATAGATTGCCTATCCAATTATAGAGTTCAGTGGTTTTTCAGACTATGTTCAACATTTGTGCTAAATTTCATCGAGATCCGTTGAGCCGTTTTGGAGATAACTTCTAACAAACATCCATCAATCCATCTAAACTTTTGCATTATTAGTAAGATTGATGATTGGATTTAGTAAAACACTTTTTCAGATGTTTTGATCCGTATAAAATGAACATTAAGGTATTGTTAACATAAACCACTACAACGTTTATTTAATATTGTTGCGGTAAATTACAGAGTGATTAGTTACAATTAGCATTTCCTGATACATTATGTGAGGCTGGTAACACGCCCATAGCAATGGTGTAGGTCACTACTCACAAATATATTTTAACACGATGGGAGATTAGCACGTGCGTCATACAATTGGTCACCAGTTCAATTTATAAATTCTATTTAGTCTTATTTACACGAGTATTACTACTTTTCACGTCTTATATAACCTTATTAGCATCTACACTCATCTCTATAGTAAAATGCGTTGCTAGTTTTTTTTGTAATAGTGAGTTTGAATTGATTACAAAAAGACGAAAATGAATTTTCCGACTGTAATCTGTTAAAGTCTCTATAATGTCCTGAATATTTTTATACCAATTAGATGTGTATTAGTAGTTAGGAAGATTGATTTTATAATATTATTACTATGTTTTATAACTTACAATCGCTTAAAATTTCCTCTTTACATTCCAAGTTACGCTTACGTGATAAGATACAAGGAAAGCCAGTTTCAAGGACACGGGTAAACAGCAAACACGATCAGCAGACCACTAATATATCTACTTTATTGCCATATATAAAAACTATATTAAAAATCAGCCTGAAATTACACTATAACCATACCATAAGCTATAAAAAAAACTGGTGAAATATTTTAAATTTCAAAAGTTACGCAAATGTAATATGTCGCAGGCATACGCCGACAGTATGTAAATTGGAGCCAACTTTGTAAACGGCGAATTTATACAATTTGCCTGCGACATATATTTGAATGCATACTAAACAAGGTTAACCGCAATGTCAAAAACCTTTTTTTTTAAATAATAAACTGATACCGATTACAAGAGTGAAAATAAGATAAAAGAAAATTCAGAGCAATTCAGATATGATTTTAAACAGAACAGAGTAATAAATTGCAATTCAAAACAGTTGTTTACGTGAATTTGGATTCATAGAATTCCAAATATTAAATCGACACGACACAGTATTATAACAGATTTAGTATTTTCAGATGCTTTTTACAGCAAAATAGAATACAAATATCTCTATCGTAATTTGTTACGTGTGCGAATCGTATTCTAACTATTAACATAGAGTTTGCGTATTTTAATTTTGAATACACATCTAGAGTAAATTAAGTGTATAATATCCGAGGGGTTATAGGGTTGCTGCCAGTGAGTTATAAGATGGTGCAAAAGAGAAAGAAATAAGCAATAGACTACAGTCCTATTTATCATTTACGAGACGAATTTAACGGGCTTGGGAAATTTATTAGCATCATACTTATGTACAATTTGTCGTGGAATACGTGTCTGATAAATCGATCAATAGAAAGATACCCTGTGTGAAGAAACACGAACACATAACGTATACATGTAATCACAATTAAAGATTACGCACGTCCATAAATTACCGAAAATACTCCGATTTATAATACTGTTTTTGATATTTTCGTACAAGTCTTTCGACGACGCAAATTCAATATCTTGTTTATGGCCCTCTGTAAGTGGGGCAGAAAACTCTTTGAGAGGCAAAAAAAGAAATTGTTAAATTTCACATAAAATTTGGACCACAATTATTGCCAAATTCAGAAAAATGGGCAATAGCTTTTGCCCGCGTCGTAGTCCGTGCGAAATTTAAAAAAACTATATTCTATACCTACACCCAAAAGTAATAGAGATCTATTGAGCCAATTTAGAGATATTTTCTAGCATCCATCCATAAATCTATGGCTTGGTAATTCCCATTTTATATCAGTGCATGCAAATAGCTCCTACATACTAGTATTAAAATTAGACTACAACAAAGTAGACATCTGAAATAAAAAACCTGTTATGTTGTCTTAGTGACATATTATTAGCTCACAACAAAGTGCCAACATTATAATAACACCAGTACAAACACATATCTCATTTATAAACTTTATAAATATGATATTTATAAATAAAAAATTGCCTTGAGGTTATTGAACTTTAAGAACACAAAGACAAATCTTTTTTTACTTTACAATAGCTGTTATCGGATTACAGTTTATTTTGCACCTATTGCATGTCTATTTCACATCCAAGTATAAGTAAATTGTTTCAATTCCAAAGTTTATCAATACAACTTATCGTACAAAAACTATTTTGTTCAAATATTTAATTATTGTACAAAATATTATTTACAAACTAATAATACAGATATATCTTAGTCTAAGCCAACTAAAAAACCAACAGAAAATATAGTATTGTTGCACTAATTAACATAAGAAAAAATAACAAAAACCTTCATAAAAACAAAAAAAAAATTTAATTGCCATTTAAAATAGATGAGGTGAGATTTAAGATAGGTAAAATTTACAAAGAAGCCTGTAATCAGGGTGAATACTGTGGGGCCCTTAAGCTGCATTTATGTGCAAATGTTATATGAGTTTTCTGAGAGGTCTTACTATTGTAACAGTCTGGTTTGACTTTACTAAAGTAAATGTCAAAAAGATATATTAAAAAAAAGTTTAAATCATCATCTGCTAAAATTTAGTACTGAGAATATTTTTTTGTTAGTAAATATCTAGTTGTTTTGAACATAAATGATGTCATTTTATCAAATATAAAATATTGCAATAAAGTGGTTAATTAAAACGCTCAACTGGATTTTACGGAATCGAAAAAATTAAAAACTTTACACACGAAACTACGTCATTCCTATAATAGGTTTCTAAAATTAATTGTTGGCGTAAGTGCTATTTTCATTTAAAAACAAAACGTTTCAATTCCGCTAATATTTGTACGGTTACGTGGAAGTAACTATCGAAAAGATCAATAAGAGGCGGACGCTTAACACCGAGGAAATATTTGGAAATTCTGAAAGAGAGACGACACGATTACAACGTGAGACCTTGAAACGGATCACAGTACGCAAAATTACTTCCTAGAAACCATGCCATCACATTACAGAAAGTACCGTAACAATGTAAAAAATGCGCGTGGTTTTATAAAACATATGAGTTAATAACATGTTACTTAATCCCTTATTTAGCGAATACAAACTGATTGCTAAATAATCATTGCTCATAAATGCGATAGTTTTTAATTTGTATACAATTCAAATAAAACACAGGTGTCACGTTATGTAAACTCCAAAAATAAACGTAAAGGTACTTACTTCAATGACCTGGGCACACACGAAAACATTTTAAAAAATATATTTCATCTACTAAAATGCAATTCACTATTATTGTACGTTTCACTCTCCGAGAACTGTGATTATTTTAAAATATATTGTTAACGCCCTCCATGTGGGGCTATGCGTGTAGATTTCGGATTACGTTCCGTTTCTGACTGTTTCTGAATTAGGGTAGTATTTGGTAGTATTGAACGATCCGATACGTACTTTCGTGGATTGGTACGATGGAATATGATCGGTTTGATTTTTGTATCGATATAATGTATTCGATTCGAAAGTACATCGATACAGAGCGAAAATGTGAGTAACAATTTTAAAGTACATTACATAGAGGTTAATCCAAAACTATTTATTTCTGTATAACACTATTATACCTTCATTATGTTAGCTAATCATGAAAAGCTAAAATCTTAGTGCCACGAACATATTTATGCATTACTACAAACAACATAACAACGAAGACGTTATCTAAAGGACCGAGATCTTTTCAAAAATTGAATAAATCAGTTTACTTAAATCACTTTGACTCGATTTATAATGATATCTGGTATCGTATGGTTGGAACGAAGAACAACCGGTTAAAATCAATAGAAGTTTTTGACATCTCAAATTATTTTTTTACTCTTTGGCATTTGGCACTTACCAAATGTCAACTTTGTGAAATGGAAAACATATGACTTCCGTGAATCTAAATGTAATTAAATATTTGTGCTAAATTTGTGTATATACAGAAAATAAATTGTGAATACGATGATACGCGAAGATGACCCACAATTTCGTATCACACCAATACAACAAATGGCATCGGCTTGTTCTGGTGCCTTGATAACTTCATTATTCAGTGAGTGTTTTGGTCGATATTTAAAATTGTTTTAATAACGTTATTTTATAGGTTACTTATACAACAATTTCACAACATATATGACTGTTTTTCTTTTGCCTTGACAACTTAATGTAAGAATTTACAATTTAAATGTTAGCTTTACGACAAATAGAATAGGCCCTGCATAATTACAAAGAGAAATTGTAAGAGTTATAAGTTATTGGTCTCTAACTGTAATTAGATGGCATAAACGCAACTGGTGTACTCTAAATTATGTTGCCACAATAATTTTCTTTGTTTATATATGACATACTCTGTTAACACCTTATAAGATAAAAATGAGAGAGAAGTCTGCACATATGCATTCTTTTTTCCTATATTTAATTAAATTTATCCTTTTTAAGTGACACCATTGGATGTTGTTAAAATAAGGCTTCAAGCCCAGCAAAAGGCATTATTATCAAATAAATGTTATTTGTATTGTAATGGATTGATGGAACATCTCTGTCCATGTGGTGAAACTGCTTGGATACCCAGACGAGTACACTTTCATGGTACATTTGTAAGTCTTATTTTAAAATATTTTATAGTTTTGCTTGAATATAAAACAATGAGTATTAAATATTTACATATAGATTGTTGTTAATAATATTGATTTTACAGTTACAAAACACAAATTAATTGATTAGTATAATAATTAATAAGTCTATTTTTATTACAAATCATGTTTTATGACTTCAAATTGTTCTGTTACAAATTTTAGAAACAAAAACATATTTCATTCTGTGATTATTGGTCACTATGTTTGAGTGTAATTTTCAAATGCAATTGTTCTTATATGTTCTACTTGTTTTCACAGGATGCATTCTACAAAATAGCAAAATTGGAAGGTGTCCCAGCTTTGTGGTCAGGTTTGAGCCCAACCCTAGTATTGGCATTGCCATGTACAGTAGTATATTTTGTAAGCTATGAACAGCTTCGGTTTAAAACTAAAACTTTATATAATAAATGGACAGATACTGGTAAGTTTTTTCTTGTGTAACAAACTTGTAATGACTGTTTAAACAAATTTCTTATATACATTTAAATTTCAGTGCATCAACCAATGTGGATACCTTTGTTTGCTGGTGCCACAGCAAGAACTATAGCTGTAACAACATTTAGTCCATTGGAACTTATTAGAACTAAAATGCAATCGAAAAAATTAACATATTCAGGTATGACTTTTTTTTATTGTTGTAGTGTTGCACTAGTTAAGGAGTATTAATAATTTTGGTATATTTTTTTTCAGAAATCACCACAGCTTTACGTCAAGTTATTAAGTATGAAGGGTACAGGGGACTATTTCGTGGTTTAGGTTCAACATTACTTAGGGATGTGCCATTCTCAGGTACTAAACTATTTTTCATATCACTATTTTTAGTTCTAGTTCTATCTAAATTACTGAGTTGATGACTAAGGCATTTTTTGATTAGTTCATTGTCTTTATTAAGTTTTGCAATTGATTTTTTCTCATTCCAGGCATATATTGGACAACATTTGAAACAACTAAACGAATATTTAATAAGCCAGATTCGGAGAAGAACTCATTTCTCTTTAACTTCTTCTGTGGTTCAGTAGCAGGCAGCGTAAGTACATTTTTATGTAACAGAATATGCTGTTCAACAAGTTTCTATTGTATTATGTGAATTGGTTGAATGGTATACTCAATTTGCCATTTGATTGATCGATCAACCAAATGGTAAACGAATTCCCTATGGATGTCGATTATTTTCAGATTGCTGCATTCATCACACTACCTTTTGACGTAGTCAAAACACATCAGCAAATAGAACTTGGAGAAAAGGAAATTTATACAGGTTAGTAACCATTGAACCATGAAACATGATCATGTTGAGCGCAAAAGATTACTAATCGTACTGATATTATAAAAGCGAAACTTTAGACGAATGGATGGATGTTTGTTAGAAGGTATCTACTAAATAACTCAAAGGATCTTGATGAAACTTGGCATAGGTGTAGAACATACGCTACCTTTCATCCCGGAAATAGGTACAGTTCCAGTGGGGAGTTTATATATTAATAGTTAGATGTACCTTTAGTACCATTTTAAAATAATTACTACATATAATGTATTGTAACATTACAACAGATGGGAAAATACAACAGAGAGCCTCGAATATGCAGAATATTGTGAAGAATATATATAGCAATCATGGTTTTAAAGGCTTGTTCACTGGTTTGTTGCCAAGAATATTTAAAGTAGCACCAGCATGTGCTATTATGATTGCAACCTTTGAATATGGAAAACAATTCTTCCAAAAGTACAACACGCAGAAGTATAAAGAATCATTACAAAGGTAAATAAATTTAATGTAAGTAATTTAAACGCAGAATTGTCAGTTTTGTTGCATGTTTTATATTTTGTTCTAAAAAATGTTTATACTTGTTTTCTTTTTTGCTTGATTTTTTTTGCAATTTTATTTATTGTTTTTGCATATATGTTTTATAATTTCCATTTCAGAAAAGGAATTGAAGTAACAATAGTAAAAAGTGACTAGCATGAAATTGAACTACACTTAGAGTGTAATTGTTTTAATTGGATTTATTGAATGGTATAATCTCTTGTGAAAACTATGTTTAATACAAATAGTGTAGTTATTTGCATGCCTTTGATTTTTAAACAAATAATTAACACAACAAAAAAAAATAATGTAGTGACAAATAATAAAGTTTGAGTTTGTACATTGAATTGAATGATTAATAAATGCTATTTATGGGGTTATTTTGTGTAATAGTGGTTGATTTTATATATTTTTTGGTTATCATGCTGAAAAATTACATTTTTGCATCAGTTTTTACCGTAAAATTATCAAAAAATATTATAAAACATATAATTCTTTGTACATGCCTCAATATAACTTATGTTAGTTTTATGGGTTAACTTTCATCTAAATTATAATTTGTGGCCAGATTTAAAAAAAAACCTGTCAGGATATGGATATAAGAATAAGGAAAATATGATTATGCTTTACTAATATTAAATTAAAAACACTTTGTTTACAGACATCAAGAGATTGTTATAATAGGCAACCATAATAACAATGACTACTCTTAAAATCAAGAAAATAGACGAAAAAATTGTATGAACATCTAAAGCCAAAAAGAGAACAACGGAAAATATTTCATATGATTGAAAAATAATTGTTTGTTTTTTCGAATTGACAATTATGTAGAAATATTATTGAAATGTGATACTATAATAATTATTTTAAGACATGTTACCATATCCACAATATTTCGTTGCTTTCATTTTTCATCAACTTTATTGTACCATTGACTGACTTCATAGTCAAAATAACTATGGAAATGGAGAACCTATTAAATCTAGGAAATACATGAAATTTCTTGGATGTTGTGTAAAGTATTTGGATTTTTTGGGTTGGATTGTTCTTAGATGTTTAAATGTGTTCATATACATTAATATAGGACAGGTTGTAAAGCTCACATGAGTATGGTGTGGTATAGTAATTAAAATTATAAAATGCTTAGTAATATTTTCTAAGTAGTCAACAATTGATATGTTTATTTATATTTGTTTTTATTTTTTAATTGAAAAGGTATTACAATATTGTAAAAAAAACTTGTTAAATAATCTTTTATCCCCTCATTATTATGGGTTGATTGTTTACCAGTAATTGTTTTACATTTTCTAGATATTCCCTACATATCTAGATACCATTTTTAATAAATTTGATACTCCTATTTGTTATGTGGGTAATGTATATAGTACAATCCTGTTTGCAAAGAGATTTGTGAACAATAAATGGAGAAGAAAATATTTATGTTTTGGTTTGCTTCATACCCCCCTAATGAATTATATGTTTTTAGTAAATGTTACCAAAATAGTACAGTTTTTGTCATAAGAAATCACAATACAAAATCCATTCTTTTCAAGGAAATTATTAAAATATATTTTCATGGATATGAATTTTAGTCAACTAGGTTAGCTGCAGTTACATAAACAAATGTGAGATATTTATACTAGAACTACTTACATAGACTACCAAAGACTAAAAGAGTTAAAATGAAACTCATGAATAAAATAACTTACTTTATTGACATCTTAATTCTATTTATATTAATGAACAATAGCTCCTAAAGGTTCTGCTTTGATATTCCCAAGGTCCAGTCGACTATCTATTGATTCATCTATTTGTCCCACAATAGCAACATTGTCGCCTCGAATTATGTGGAGGCCAAGAACTACTTGAGCTACACCTGTAGATGAAGAAAACACTCTCTCATGCGACTCGTCCAAAATAATGTTTATCGTCTGATCGAAACCCTTCAGTGTGCCAATGAAATTACGCCCGTCGGAGGTTATCACCGAGACTGTCTGATTAATATAACTTTCTAATCCTGATGCCATGTTGTATTTTTTATCACTAGTTGAAGATAAATAATATTATTTCATTGATATTATTTTGGCGAGTTTTAGCGGCAGTTTTTACAAACAATGTTTTGTCAAACTTCGACTGTCAAAGTCAAAGCAATGCTTCGCAATGCTGTGCTGCGTGCGTAAAGATTGAAAAGATGAAAACTTTTGGAGTTGGAAATAAACCCAAATTGTAAACTATTTTATATGGTGTTTAAATTTTTTCGTAAATGAGAAAAATGTATTATACAGGTTAAATAAAATGTGTGCAACATAAACATTTTTTAACGTTAATCGTTGATCGTTGTTTTCGCGTTTTCGATATTGATATTATGACAGTTGACAGCTGACATTTGGCTATTTTACATGATTTTATGTTTACTTTTAATTGTAATGTTTGTATCGTAGAATTTGAAAATTAGACTACTACACTACGACTATCGAAGCTATATAAGCGTATAAGCTGATCGCTGACAAAATGTCAACAACTATTGTACAATATATTTTGCTACGAAGTGATTTATTAAAAGATTTAGGTTGGTCAATAGGATCACTAGTAGCACAAGCATGCCATGCTTCCTCTGCAGTGTTACATTTGTTTAAAGATGATGAATATACTGCGAAATATTTAAACGATCTAGATAATATGCATAAAGTTGTATTAGAAGTGAGTATCAAAAACTTAATACTAAACTATAAGTTAATTTATAACTGCACCAAGGAAATTAATAGCATTTAGGTTTTATATTAAACAAATATGATAATGTATTAAAACTATGTGACTACAGTTATATAATCCATGGTAGCAGTAAACATTCCACAATGCCAAGTGATGGCATATGCGCTCGGTTAAATTGTGACTTTAGTAATTAAATTATAATCTGAACCATGTGATTCGGTTTATATACTGGATAAAGTTTTGAAATGTAACTTTTTTTACCTCTTTAAAATAAAACAGAATTGTAATTAAACTATTAAGTACAATGAACAAAAAGTAAGAACATCTATTGAAGGGATAAATAACATATACATATATAATACTTTACCCTTTAAAGCTATAACAAGTTGTGAGTGCAGTAAGATCTTACTTATTAGTTATTACACATTTTTCAGGTTCCTAATGAAGAATCATTAAGAAAATTATCAGAAAAATTAAAAGAAAATTCTATAGACCATAAAATGTGGATTGAACAGCCAGAAAATATTCCTACATGTTTAGCTCTTAAGCCATATCCTAAAGAAGAAGTAAAAAAATATGTTGGCAAATTTAAGTTGTACAAAACAACATTAGATTAAGTCAAATCAATTTAATAAAATATCTGAAGTATATTTAAATAAGTTTAAGCAATAGAAGCATGAAAGCATAAATATTTATTATTTTTTTTCTAAATTATTTTTGCCTCCTTGTATTAATATATAAATTTATGTTTGTATATGTATAAAATGATAAAGTTGATTTTGACACAATTTCGACCTTTTAATTTTTATGTTACTGTCCTACTTCCCATCATATGTTCAAGTTATAGTTTATGCCAATGATTTGCGGATAAAACATATTTTACACATATGCAATATTGTGAACAAGTCTACGTTGCTACAAACCTAAAAAAAACTATCTGTCAGTTTCCTTTTTTGACGTTTGAAAGTATTATTCGAGGGAAAACAATTTAGGAAAAATAAAACCATTTCGTTAATTGCAAATTTAATTTAATCTTCTGAATAAAGCGAACATATTTTAAGAACGCAACATAATGCTCACTGCTTTCGTAATAATACCATTATTGTTTAGTTCACCAACAAAATACCCCAACTATAATAAATGCTTATTTGTTCCAGTTTGTTTATTTGATAGCTCATATTTTCTGATAGAACTGGAGTAGTAGTGTCACTCTCGTCGGGAGAAATAGAATAACACTGGAAAGAGATTAGCTCCTATCTGTTGGTAACATATTTAGAAAATTGCTAACAAGACAATATGCATTGAAGCAAAAGAAATCGTCATCATCAAGCTCACTATACGGACACAATATACTCCACTGAGGAGCTCGGAGCCTACCCTCAGGAATGCGACTAGGTCTTATTCAACAACGCAGAACCAGTTAGGGTTGGTTGACTTCACACATATCTTTGAATATCTATGCAGTTATGTGCAATTTGTAATTACAGTAAGAATGTCGGATGGATGTTATCAAGAAATTCGAAGAACGCATTACTATATAGCGGAGATCGTACGGGGATATGTAAAATATGATGCGGTCAAGCGCCAACTGCACTGCCGATGCTCCAAATAGTCCCCTAATCTAAACTTTTCCTATCAAAACATTGCAAATGTAAAAGTCATGTTAAATATAATGTAATATAAAAATAGAATACAATATTTAAGTTTTACTTCTCAAATAAATTCATAAAATTATCATGAACCTAAAGATTCCGCATATTAACTCTTTTGTTATTACTATTCTCCATAGATGTGTAACCTATAGATTCCTTAACAAGAAAAATAATGAGCTTAGGAGGCATCATTTTGGGGTAAAGTACCTGTGTTGAAATTTAAATTACTTGTAAGAAAATTGTATACAATCTCTGTTTATTTTTTATTACTTAGTTCAAAAAAGGTTTAGGTTTTATTATAAGTTGTGATATTTGTAACATCCAAATTTAATAAATTAATTAGTTTCATATTTTTCACTAAATGGTATTTTTTTATCTTTTGTACTTGATACTTAATTCCCTATATTTTATTATATTTTTATTTTCTATACACTGCATTTCCCAATTTCGAGAAAATCTTGTTATGCTAGTGTATATTTTATATTAAAGTCTAATACAACTAATATAAAACACTAAATCTATAACACTAATCTAACACTAAAACACTATATCAATATTGACATTAATATAGTTACTAGCATTTCCTGCAACATGGTGACTCTTTTTTAGATTTGCGGTTAAACTACTCCATATAATAAGTTATTTTTCAAATTTAGTTTAGAATTACAATTATCAAACAATCAAACTTTGTAGCACAGATGTTGCAGCGGTAATTCTGAAGCAGATTCCTTTATTTAATAATTCTGTAGACCTTGAAGAGGTGCATTTATTCATCTGCAACAGAATGAAATGGGAATTAATTGATTCAAGTGTACAACATAATCAATTTAATTATTGCTTTTCACCTAATTACATACCTTATTAAAAAAAACTGGTTTTCTTTGATTATATGGATCTCTCCCCATTTACTTACAAAACTTCTTTGCAATTCTCTACAATGATGGAACTCACAAACCATGTAAAAAAATTATGATTAGTTTTTACAGGTACAGATAGGAACTTTTATTGCCTCGCATTTTTGTGAAATGTCTATGATAGAAACATAAATCAAATTGGTTTGAAACACTTGTCATGACATGACAAATTTACAGTTTGATCTACAATATTTGAAACAATAACAGAGAGATATTCTACACACAACCTAAATAATGATTAAGTTAATTTATATTATTGAATCTTTTGCATGTTTGGAGCAAACCATTTTATTCTAAATATCAAGCCAATTTAAAAGGTTAAAATTGTTCAAGTAATTGCTGGAAATATAATATGTGCTTACTTACTTAATATTTACCACTTACCATGTAGAATTTGGCATATGTCTTGTACTTATTTATGTATGTTATTTTCATCAATTTTTGTTGTAAATTTACTTTTCAGCAATCAGCAAAAGGTCATAAGTTCTAGTTCAACATTTAGTTCTTTTAAATATGAATAGAATGTAAAATTTTATCTTTATTCAAATTCTATTTCTGTGAATCCATAGATTATGTTTTCTACTGCTTTTTACTTGTTTCACACCTAAAAACAGAAAGTATTAAAAATTGATAAGTTGTTCATACAATGTTCTTCCTTTGTAGTTAATTATAAGTGTAAAGCTTATTCTTATAATTTAATAAGTTACAGAAACTTCAGAGGTTGGATGTAACTGCTGGTAACTTAGTTTATTTAGAAAAATAAACTATTACAGATATCTTTATTTTTATAAGATCACATATTGTTGATGTTATTCATAATTTTATTATAAACAAACCTAAAGATGTGTACTTTTAAATAATAAATTTCGGTCAATTTGTCATTGGAAAGTGAGTCACACTCCCATTTTAAAGTCCAACCCAAACAACAATAAACAAAGTTTTTTAACATTTGAATACTAATTTTATTTGGTACAACTTTACAATAGCGAATCAAACCAAGTTTTCGTAAAATCAATTTTAAACTTTAGGAAATGATCATCATGAGTATTATTGCTATGAAGATTGCTGAAGATGAATATATTGCTATGAAGATTCTTTTCGGGGTCTTAATTTATTTCATTGAGATAATAAAATTGTTTCATATGTTTTCAGTTTTGTAACAGGTATGCTGACACTCACAATTTTTATAAAATCACATGTTATAATAGAAAATATTTTCTCTTTTTCGATGTTTTTTTTATGGTATTAAAAATCTTCCAAATCTAACCTTTCCAGTTTGCTTTTGGTGTTTTATTACATGTTATAAACCTAGCTTTACTTATATCCTGCGCTTTTCTATTGTTCAAAACTTAACTTACCCTGTGTAGTTTTCTTCGTTTTTTTTTCAACTTAAGTTACGACTCCAAAAAAAAACTTCCAAAACAGTGTAAGAATATTCCCTATCGTTTAAGATATATGTAATGGAAATTTCTGCTTGATTCGGTTTTATGAAGCATTACCTTTTATGTTATTAAGAACTTCTATACAATTTCAAAGCGTACTTTCATTTCATTGACTTTTACTAAGTAATAACGAATGTAAAAACATTTAGCAACATTTTGACGTAAATATGGAATAAGATTTATTTACGTACATAAAATATAAAGTATAGTCATTGATACTTTATTTGATATGTAGTGAGATAGAATAATAGTCAAACAACAAAAAATACAAAATATAGTACTATTGTACTAAAAAAACACAAGGTAATTACCACATGGTTCTTGGAAATCTTCTCAGAAGAAAACATCAGCTTTTTGCTCAGCATTATGCTTCGCGATACTTTGTACGTTCCCAATTTAAGAAGTAATTTAAATTCAGTTGCCAAAATTACTGACAATGGTCATAATGTTCTTTTTAAACGTGACGTTGCTTATGTCACTGATAACAAGGGCATTGTCAAAATGACAGCCGATCGTGTGGGTAACTTATACAGAGTGAGAGAAGTAAAGAATAGAATGAACGACGCATTAGTTGCTATGAATGTGGATATACGTTTGTGGCATGAGCGTATGGGTCATTTGAATGCACGAGATCTTGTGAAATTACTGAATACTTACGGATTCAAAGCTAAGACAAAGGATATGAATGTATTATATGACTGTGAAATATGTACGAAGGGAAAAATGACTACACTTCCGTTCTTGAAGACGAGAGGCCCATGTAAACACCAAATTAATGATTGTTCATTCGGACGTGGTTGGACCAATGAGAACCGAATCTCTAGGTGGAGCAAAATACTTTGTGACAAAAATCAAAAGACATTCGTGATCACTCCAATTATTAGATGACCTAGCACCGTCTACTTCTTCACACCATGTCTCTATGTCATTAACACTCGGATCAAAATTAGAAATATAATAAGACTGGTTAGATCTCACCGGTATATTTATGGATCGTATCACATCGATGATGCGATCGGCGGCGCTGGCCTGGACTGACGTAGCGCTCGCGGGACGCTCCGGTGAGGACGGAGTCGTTGAAGCCAACCGCCCTGCGCGCCCTTGAAGCGAGCTCGCTGTCACAGCTTCGCTCAACTGCGACGGCGGCGGCATCGACACGGCAGGCTCAACGGCAGGAACGGGCTCGGTGCTGATGGTTGTCACAGGCACCGCGGACCTGGCCACTTCCACTGCGGCGCGGCCACTTGGCTCCTTCCGATGAGATGAAGACACTACCTGTTGTTCCTCTTATGACACCAATCTATTCAAAATTTGTTGCATTGTTTCGGTTAAAATATTGCTAGAAGGGCTACGCCGTCTGTAGCGCGAATCATGTTGGCTAGAATGCGATCTGCGATTTAGCGACCGACTTCTATTCTGCCGCCTCTTATTAGGCATGTTTTCTTTTTTTTTTAGCAAGTATTTAAAATTAGACGTAATTCGAAGCAACGCATTCAAGTTACGGTAAATTATTGATCAGCAGGGTAAGCACGGCAAAATATTAAAGTTGAGCCATTTAACAATTTTCACAACAAACTAACAAATTCAACTTCTATTTGTTATTTTAAAACGGAGAATAAAATAATTGGAACGTACTCACCAAAGTTGACATTATAAAACTTGATCACACCGTCACATAACGTCTTACTTACGTATATTATACCAATCACCGAAAACAAAGTGCTAATTTGTCCTTTTAAA